TTCTTCAAAGTGTTCACTACCTTCAGAAGTTCCTGCCTCCATCTTAATTGTAAGTTATAAATCTGTAATAAATCATAGATTTATCCCCTTGAAAAGGACTACTTTTTGCCATTTTTAAATAATGGTAACTTTCAATATACTCACTTGGGCTCTTTTCAAGTTCAACCAACTTTTATAACATATAACTGCAAGCAGAAATATAATTAAATTGCTTGTAATAGAGCAGCATGTTTATTTCATCATTCCCCCCCCCCCAGTAGTCAAATGAAAATCTCAAAATACCATTTACACATCTAAGCTAACCAAAACATAATAGACTGGAATGTTGCAATTTCTTTAGAGGGAAATGAAAGAAAAAGAAAACAGTTTTGCTCAGAGGAAATTCCAGTAATAATGAATATAGAAAAATAATGCTACTAAAGTAATCAAGGTTGCCTACTAAAACTACCAAAGTTAATAGCAGCTCTTCCCTTCATCTTGTATCTGTCACTGACTTTATCCTGAAGGTCGCTACTTTACATTATATCAGGAGTAGGTAAAGGCAGATACTTATTGAAGACCTCCAAAAGTTTATGGGGTCCAATATTTACAGCCAAGCAAGAATTTTATCATCTCCTAAATTGGATGCTAAATTTAAGAAAAGAGAACATTGTATGAAAGGAGCATATTAGAATTTTATTCTACATAAACCCTAAATTTGGGATAAACCAAAGCTATTCAGAAGATATTTTTATTGCTGCAGGATGGAAAGCAATGATTCTAATGTTTTGTTTTGTTTTTAACTTTATCTAGCACACCGGCAAATGGAAACTCAGTACATTTTTCCAGTTCCAGAGGGTTACTTAGTATTCTGTGGCACTGCACCAGATTTTGGTGTCTAAAGTGGGCAACGCATTTCAAAAATCTTTGGCTCTAATTGCACAAAATGCATTGGTGAGAAGGAAAGGTAATTCAGTGACTGATAGGAAGAATGACGAGGTATATAGAGATGGAGCACCGCAGCAGGGTCAACTCTTCCATCAGATAATGTGAGAAGTTCCTCTTGTGGGAGGAAATGGGGAGTGAGAACAAGAGGAAGATAGAAGTGTTGTGCCAGCCTGTTGCTCACTTCATACGCATACACACACATTGGTGCCTTGAAGAAGTGTTTCCCATTGCCAAAATTTATTATTCAACTATTGTAGTTGGCTTCTCTGTATATGGCACTGGAAAAATGTAACTTTTAACACTGGAAGTAAAATGTGATTAATGCTAGATGTGAGATGGTTTCCTTCTGCCTCTGCTATCAGACTATTTACTCAGCATTTACTCATTTTATTAAATGTTCTTAAAATGAAGATAAAAATAAATACAAACTGGGATAAGATAAGAAAAAGAACAAATACAAACTAAAATAAGGTAAGAAAAAGAAAGAAATCAAAAAGAAAATTAAAAGTGCAAGAAGGGAAAAAGAAGTAAAGAAAAATAGAAAAAAGATACAAAGTAGCTTTTGATTTTCTTTGCAACAGTTGTTAAGTACAATTATAAATTTACTACTTACTGTATGGTTACAACATAATTCTCTTCTTTCTATAATCTCTCCTGTCTAATGATCAAAGCCATAAATCATAAGCTCATTTTTTCTTTTACACAAATTCCATAAGTGGTTTGCTTAATGCATTCTTCTAGAGGTTATCTTTCAGAGATGAAATGTGGAGTTAGTCACAATGCACCATAGCAAAAGAAATTTGAGAGAGTAGAGTTTGTTATCATTGGGGTTTTCAAATTTGGAAAGTCCAGCTTTACAGATTAGCAAAGAGAGCAGTAGGCTGGATTCTGATATTGGATTCACCTCCAATACTGGAATGTTGTCTCTAATTCTAAACAGATTAAACAATCTGGAAACTGTTCCAGGAACCATAGCATCTTCTAACCAATTCTGGGAGACTACAAGGAAACATCTACAACTGGGACGTGCTTAATCCCCAAATTATTGCCATTGTGAACATGGTCAGTCAGCAAACAAACTAGAATGCAAATTGATGAGATGATTCACACACAAAGAGTATTTTATCTTTAGGGGGTTTTTTTCCTGCTACCCATAAGTGCACATTTCCAAACCAAATATTGAATTGAAAGGCATCATAAGATTTGCCAGCAGGAATATGTACCTTCAGACAATGGGTCACCTATCCCTGGGTAATAAGATTGCAACTAAAGAGTATCTGAAGCATTCTCTTATTATTTTGTTACCTTCCAACAACCTGGTACACAGCTCAATATTATTATCCTAATTTAAACTGAGAGTTTGTATGCTATTATTGTCCTTCTTGTTTTGTGTGGCATTTTGAATTTTGCCTCCTGCACCAAAATCCCTGTGGTGGATTATGTCCCAGCTCATTTGATATGTAAGCCAAGTTGAATTTTTGGAAAGAGTAATAACTGGCAACTTCTCCCAGGAGATTGGATGTGATTCAGCGTGTAGCAGAGAGGCAAGCAAAAAACATCCTTGGAATGCCCCTCCCCAGACTTAATTAAAACATTTCCTTTCTGCCATTACTGCAGCATTTGTTATTGCTGTTTTTAAAAAGTCTCACTGGATCATCTGTGGTGCTAAGAGAGTGCTGGCTAAAATTGCTTAAACCATCTTCTCTTATCTTTTAAATCCCTTTACATTCCCTGTAAACCAGATACATTTGTGCCAAGTGATTTTTATTGGGAAGGAGATTCAAAATGAGAATTTTTGCAGTTTAAAAATACACATAATCTTATTTGGAGTGTTATTGTATAGCCTATGACCTTTTTGCAGATTATATTCCTATTCCTATATCTCTATTCATAAATGCATGATGCATAATGATAATAATCAATTATGTATAGTTCAGTATTTTATTTTTACATGCTTGTCAGCAAGGTAGAAATACATTTCCAAAAGACCAGCAACATTTTACCTCTATCTTTTTCCAGCTCTTCCTCAACTTCTTCTTTGGGAAAGCTCTTTGTACTATTTTAAATCAAGTAACATTTTCCCCACTCAGACTTTAATGCAGCCCTTTGTGGACTATTTTGTGCATGTTGATTTCAATTCATAAAGATGTAATAGATGTAATGCAAGAAATTCAGGCAAAGTTGATTTTGTTATCATCATCTCAACTTTAGCTAATAAAGAGCAATACTTGGAAAGAGAGAAGAAAGAAGAATTTAAAACAAATATGATAGGATTCTTTTTCCTGGAGACTTCCAGAAGCAGTTGTTTGAGCAACATCTACCCACAATATTACATTTTTAAAAAATTCTGATGGTATTCAAAATTATTATTTATTATCTATTGACAATGTGAAATGCCAACTGCCTGTTCTTTAGCTAGTATTGCCTTCATATGCATTAAGATCTTCCCAACAGCTATCTTTAACTCTTTCTCAGCCATAAGAAGGAGGCACCAGTAAACCATTTTTAAAAAAATCTTGCCAAGAAATCTGTAAGGACTTTTCCAGACAATCGCCAGAAATCAACAGTGACTTGAAGGCACAAAAAAGTGGCATGTACTGATACCAATATTTGAAAAGCCACTGTTAGCTACTTTCAGTAAATCAAATCTTTCTGTTTAAACTAAAGGTTGTTTTGGTCAGTTGGCAATCTTTACTACCCTTTCAAACACAAAGTTGATCTACATGTTAACTACTTTTGGCTCTTTTCAGGCATCAAAGCACTATTTGAGAATCTACAGATCTTGCAGGGAACTGCCAGCCAATCAGCATTTGCATGTCACTCAGGAACTGAAAGCCTGGTCCTGTTCACCCAAACACCCTTTCCCCACTTTAAAAAAGAAAAGCTATTTTATTTTTAAGTTCCTAAGCAATAGTAAATATCCTAATATTGATGCAGCAACTATGCCAGCATCCCAGGAGCTAAGAAACAGAGTGACCCAAGAATGCCTTCAAGTACAAGATGGTGATATATTATTTTGAAGTGGCATTCTGGGCTTTAAAATGACTTTTTCCTATTCAGGGGTCCAACACTATAACATTATTTTTCTTTCAACACTGGCAAGATTAAAATTCCAAGTCTCTGTTATAGTATTATATAAACAAAAGGGGGAGGGTTGTCTCCTATAAATCTGCACTTCATTTGGAAAACCTCTAAATTTTTCTTGCACCTGACCTACTCAATCTTATTCTTCACTGTGTTTTCTAGTTAGCATAGGTAGAATATTAGAATCAAAGTATTAGAAGGGATCTAGCGTAAGTCAGGATGCAGCTATAATTCTCTCAAAATATCTGTCCAGCTTCTACTGAAGCTCTTCCAGTGAAGGAATGAATGCTCATCCCCCCCCCCACACACACACCGAGGAGGGGGAGGGGGAGGGAGAGTGTGTGTTTTTGTTGTGCTCCGTTACAGTTTTTATTGTTTAGAAGTTAAGCCAAATTTTTCTGATTGGATCAAATTCTGCCCTTTGAACATTAGAAAAAAAAAGTTTCTTTCTTTCTGAATAAAGACTTTTCAGATATTCTAAAGCCACCATCTTCCACCCCCAAACTTGGTGTTTGCCTACCTCTTTGTTTTTCTTTTGAGGGCTATATGCAACAGATCTAAAATACTTTTTCCAAAAGAACTTGTGCGGTCCGTTTCATCTGCTTTTTATTATAAAAATAGCCAAGAGACACTTTAAATGCTTACCAATGTATTATCACATGAGCATGTGTGGGTTACAATCCTCCAAGAAAGCTTACACAGTTATACCAGTTTCTAAAATGCAAGATTAACTAATTAACACTACTGAAAACATAAAGTGATCCATTCTCTCTCTCTCTCTCTTTATTCCTTCCCCGCTTCCCCCCCTCCCCATCCCGTCTTGAAGATTGGGGATCATCCGAATAAGCTCTTGTAGCCCCACTGCTCCGAAGAAACTGCCCACCCAGCCAGCCACTTTAATCGTAAGCAGCGAGTGCCAGCCAATCAAATGAGGGCACCAGCTGGGAATCTTCCATCAGTTTGGCTGGTGCCTGCAAGGAGGAGTTGCATCCGCCGCACCACTCCCTTTCTCTGCAATGACCTAAAGCAGCAGCTCTGCAAGGCTATGAACAAGCAAGTAAGCAATGCAGACCCGACCTGAACCACTTGGGGCTCGTCCAAGGGGAGCGTCTTTTTTTTCTGCCGACTGGAGACTGTGTCAGCAGTTGATTCTAACCAAGCTGCACTTTTAGTGCATTCCCGGAAAAAAAAACCCACACTCAACGCTTCTGTCTTCTGCACTCGGACTGATTCTTCAAGGCAGCCTTTCTCAAAGGAACCAGAGAAGCTGCCTCTTCTCTTCTCTCTTTCTTTCCCTCTGTTATTGCTGCGCCAACTAATCCACCAAGATGTGTGACTGCTTTCATCTCGTACTTCCTAACTGGCCAGGATCTCCAGCCAGTGGTGGGCTTACTTTTTTTTCCTTCTAATCTAATACTTTCTTCTGTGCTGCTGCTGTTGCCTGTGCTGTGTTAAATTGTGCTTGTTAGCTGCAAAGTCGGCCTTTGTGAAACCATCCCTGCAGCTTTTAGGGTGTGGCCAATCCCAGATACTGCATGAATCAGATAAGGAGTCCAAGAGGATTCTGTAATGCTCAGTCGGGGGGCTAAACTTTCCCTTCACCTTTCCTCCTTACATTGAATCCGTGTTTCAGAGCTCTGGCACTATGTATAATTAAGTTAATAGCAATATTTCTGTGCATCAGGATATCGGCTTTTTCCTCAGACTGCATGCTTTCAGTTTCACTAGCTTTTAAAAAAATATATAGCAATAAGTCTGTTGGTGCACCATGCATGGCATGAGCATAAAAATAAAATAAAATGTCTTTTTTAACTGCAATTGAAAAATGTGGTATACTGTATGCTTTATATGTGGAGACTACAGTGTTTCTAGTAAGTGGTGTCAAAAGCCTTAAGCAAACAGCAGATAAAGTTAGCACTCTGGTATATATGAGAGTACTAGTAAAAGCATTAGTTTGACAGCAAGAAGGGCACACTTCCATAAATTTTAGAAGTTTTGAAAATAATGTCACTTTGTTCCCAGAATCCTCTTGAGAAAAGAGGTAAACTAGAGGGTTTAATTTTTAAGGAGAGGTTGTTTCTGGATTTCAACTTTATACAAAAGTCCTGCACCTTAATATGAAAAGGCTGGGGGGGGGTGACTGGAGTGGTCAATGATTGGAAAATCACATTCTGTGCATCCCCAGAGTTTCTTTCAATTTCTTTATGTGTTTTTGTAAAGGTTGGAATGGCTCAATGGAAGTAGATCAATTGGTAAAGTCTGGTTGAAAAAGTATAAATATCCACAGACTCTGCCCTATTATATTATTATATTATGTTATTATTATTAGATATTGAATCCATTCTATAGTAAATAGCTACATGTATCAGAACTCAGTAAAACATCCCACCTCAACTTTATGCCCATGCTGACTATAGATGATGGAGGCTGATATCTTCTCCATCTGGTGGCTACTAATCAGAAAATTAGAAAATTAATCTTTCAGTTTGCCCAATTTATTAGCAATATTGCCACAAGGGTTGTCTCCTATTATAAAGTAAAGGACATACCATTTTCACATGATAATCACAATCCAAAATGTACTGTCAAGTATGAGGGAAAGATAATAAATGCAACAGTCCCTGACTTACTTATTCCAAAGGCAACTTTTTAAAAAGAGAATGAAATGTAAAGGTTTAACAAATTGGCAGCCTGCTATTATGTTTGATATACGTATTGGAAATGTAAAGCTGGTATAGAGAGAAATTCAATATTAAGCTGAACATCTGATCATTTAGAGTGATTTCTGTTTCTTGCAAGACCAAAGTTTACATGAAACTTTTTCTAAAAATGTGTACCTTTTCACATAGTTGATTTTTAAGCAATTTTAAGAATAATACATGCTAAAAGGCCACTGCTTAAATCTTAGAAGGGAGCCTATTGAATGCATGATTCTGAATGTCTGGTTGTTGGCTTTTTAAAAAAGTATTTTATAAACCTGTTTCTAATGCCCTGGAATTTATAAGACTAGCGTTATCAGTTCTTGTTTCTTATGTGCTACAAAGAAATAACTGTTTGAGCAGTCCTGTTGACTGTTGACTACTTTATGGGCCCTTCGTGGGAAGAATGGTATTTTTCCACCGGGAGGAGCAAAATATTAGCTGAACTCTCTCCAAGTCCCAAGATAATATTTTGATTAATTATCGTTATCTCAATATCCAGATTTTACAACAAGGATAACAACCAAATGGCAATCTAACTTGGAAGGGGAAAATATCTGGCTCCAAAAGACCCACCTTTTTTTCCTCAAATAATCCAGCTAAAATAAAAAAAAAAAAAGACTTTCCTCAATTTCACATTAATGGAATAGCGGTGATGAGAATCTCAGTGCAGAACATAAAATCATGACTGCATCTACCTCCTCTTATATTATGGTGGAACTGAGTACAGCCATCTGACTTGGAGAATATATAATAACTTGATATAGCAGAGAGTTTATGCTTCTTATTTATGAAGCTCTGGTCACTAGTTAATCACAAGATTATTCTAGGGAATTATTGATTTGGACTTGAAAAGACTAAGATTGCAGCCAGAAAATTCAAGTAAACGTCTGTATTGAAAACCAAATATATCCCAAGAATATAATGTTTGGCATCTCTGCTTTAGTATTTATTTTCTTGGTTTACATAAAATACCTTTTTATCTGAGAATGCACTATGCCTAATCTTTAAAATGGATGAGATGATAAATAAATATTCTGTTCAGAATTGTATCTCAATGTTTCTGTCTCACAAAGTATTTAAACAGATCTTTAAATGAATCAAAAATTTAAGTTCATTGATTTCATACAATTGCTGCAATATCTCATTCACACAAACCTGAGTCATCCCACTGCGCTCTATAAATTGCATTCATACATGGTCCAGACTCCCAGATGTAAAAAGGTCATCAAACTAATATCCAAGCCCTTGCATTTTAATTGCAGTATAGATCAAGCTGTTTGAATATCAGAGGCAGAATTTCCATCTCAACTCAAATATATCATGGTTTAAGGTGGAGTCGGCTTGTGCTGGGAATCATCAAGGGTTGACAGGCATGTTTGAATCAGCCAACCACTTTGGGGAAATCGATAGTTTGAGAGGAGAGAAAAAAACAGATGGTTTTATACTCAAATCTTTATTGTGAAAGTTTTTCCAGAAACAACAACTAGCTCAATAAGAAACCAGACAACTGTAGTTTAGAAGAAATTAAAATTTATGATTTTCTTTTTGTTCCTGATAGGGAATTTGACTATATTAACCTTCTTTGAGATATTTTTCTACCTCCACAGTTTTGACTTTCGGAGGCTTGAAATTACTCTATCTGTATCTCTAATTGGTACAATTAAGGTTTTTTTGTGCTGCAGTAGATATGTTGCATAGCAAATAGTCTGCTTATCTCAATATTATAGAGAATTGTAACAACAAGTTGTTATTCCTCAGTTAAACTGTAAAAACATTTTTGTTTTTATATTACTGAGTAAAATAAGAATGTGTTTTGTTGCTGAACATTTAGGATGCAGGAAAACAATGACTATGGCTTCGCAGTCATTCTAAAACTGTTCAAGAGAAAATGTGTTTTCCTTTCAGAGCATATTTCATATAAAGGCCATCTTTAACTATTCATGTATTAACCTTTTACATAAAAATTGATATTGCCAAAATCTCTTAATGTTTAAAAAGCATTTAAGGAATTGTGAGATAGCAGCTTAATAAACAAAAGCTATAATTTTAGGCATAGTCCTTACTCAAGAGAAAGCCCAGTGATGCCTGTAAAGACTGTTTAAAAAGCTAATGCTTAGAAGCAAAAGCTATCAAAATAGTAAATCACATACACTTTCTGAAATCATAACACTGATGTTATGACCTAGTTTGGGTAATGAAACATCTGCAAGAAAACAACCAAGGATCCCTCATGTCAACCCTGAGCTACAAATATTCTCTAACAGAAATAATTATAGAAATGAGGATGAAAGAAGAAAACAGAGAAATTCTTTAAAAAAAATACAAAAGCAATATACAGTAACTCTCCAGTCTCTAGAACAGTGGTTCTCAACCTTTCTAATGCCGTGACCCCATAATACAGTTCCCCATGTTGTGGTGACCCCCAAGTGGGTGTGGCCACCAATAAGAGGGAGTAGGACAGCTAGGGAAAAGGAAAAAAAATGGCGGACAGCATGGTTTGGCGACCCCCGTGAAATGGTCATTCGACCCCAAATGGGGTCCCGACCCACAGGTTGAGAACCACTGCTCTAGAAGCAGTATTCCAAAGAGCTGGTGCCACTACTGAAAACACCCATTTGTGTAATACTGGCAACAGAACTTCTCTGAGTGATCCTCCAAATCATTCAAATGTATGGGGGGGGGAGATTCCTAACTAGCCGGTTTTCCATATTGTTTAGAAGTTTATATGCCATTAATACGGTAGAGCCTTCAACTGTTAAATGGAGGCCCATGCAATGGTTTCGGATAGCACTATTATGTCTGGGCTGCAAATGTCTGGATAACCACAAGATAGCAGCACAGCATATGACTGTTCTTCATAATACATTACAGCACATGAATAAGAATAGCAGTGCTATGAAAATGGTGAAGATGCAGGGAAATTCACCAGGAAAAACATAGCATGGGGAGGAGGAGGAAGAGGAATAGGCATTGTCTGCTGCAAAGTCAAGAGCAGCACAGTGGAAACAGGAAAGAGAAACAGAGGCCATGCTAAACTCACACTGACCAGGTGACAGCAAAAGGTACGGGAAACCTTATGCTCCCATCTAATGATTCAAAGCAACTCAGATAAACTTTTGCAGCCATGATCTGGTAGCCCTAACGCTGATGTAGGCTGCCATACCACTCCACCCATGAGAGTCCAGAGCTACTACTGCTGTTATTTCTCCTCCCCCCCCCCCCCGGCTTAAGTACAAATTGCAGATACCTTACCCTTTCAAACATATGCACTAATTTTATAACTTTTGACTATTGTTGAAATGGAAGAAAGCACTTTTGAGAGGCTGGTCTTAGGACCCAGAGAGATCTACTGGTAGTTAAGCCATTCTTGACCAGAAAAAGATATGCTGTATATGATGAGCTGTGGTGGTGCAATGGTTAGAATGCAGTATTGCAGGCTAGCTCTGCCCATAGCCTGGAGTTCAATTCTCACTGGCTCAAGGCTGACTCAGCCTTCCATCCTTCCAAGGTTGGTAAAATGAGGACACAGATTGTTGGGGGCAATATGCTGAGTCTGTAAACCACTTAGAGACTACTTTAAAGCACTACGAAGTGGTATATAAGTCTAAGTGCTATTGCTATTGTAGCAGAGGTTCCAATCAAGACTGATAAAAAACATTCCTGACCTCAGATGTAAATTGA